TGGTTCAAGCCCTTCAATTATAAAAGGTCAAAAAGCCAAGGCCGGGGACCTCACAATTCAACCCGGTGATACCCTGGCAGCATCAGCCAGTTTAGCTTAAAACAGGAGGGCCAGGAAAGATCTAGGAACAGAAATGGCCAAACCAAGACTGTTGTCCTGAAATCCTAGCCCCTTAAAAAAAGGAAGTCACTGGCCAGCAGAACCACACAAACCATAAGAAGCGAACTAAAGCCACAAGCCTAAACAACCCAACAACCCAAAAAAAAAAACATTAACTACCTATCCACCAACCACAGAGGCTACCTGTCCTATCCAAACACACTAACAAACTAACCCATCAACCACAGTAACTACGTGTCCTATCCAACACACTGACTAACTATCCTAGATGAACTAATCATGCCTAGAGCGGCACACCGGACCTACTTGGACCGGGAAGGTTGTGTCCAAAGCTCCCTCCTTATGAACCCTGCCTTCCTCCTGCGGAAAAGAGAACCGAGCAATCAGGTTCATCCTGCATTTACCTATCTCGAAACCACTTTGCCGTAACAAGCTTTCCATCATCCAATTTTACCAATGAACCTCCAAATTCCCATGTTTCCCCAAACCATCTTGTTGGCCCACACTGGCTCCTCCTCCTCCAATCCACCTGAATTAGGCGGCGGAGTGAGGTTTTGAATAACATTCGAATCTTCTTGTTGGTCATCTCTCTGTTCTCGAAAATTCGCAGGTTCCTTTCTTTCCAAATCACATCGCAGCCGGCAGCATGGGCCGCTTGGGCTATATAGCCCCAACCTTTATCGAGCTCCAGAGCATCTGGAACCCCACCCAGGAGCACCCATTCGCGATCCCAAATTAGCTTCTTATCCAAAATTTCCTGCCAGAAGACCCGCCACCATTCCCATATTCGGGAAGATGCAGGGCAATCGTACCACAAGTGGGCCGTGGACTCGAAAGCCCATCCACATCTACTACAAGTGAGCTCAACTTCCATACCCCTTTGGGCAAGGTTGACTGCAGAGGGGGTAGCTAATAGAGACAAAAGCCAAAGGTTAACTGCCAGACGATAATTAGACGCTTAGGCCGGTTGCTTCCAACAGCGTATAAGCGTTTTCTCAATCTTCAGGTTGGCCGTATAACATATGAATGGTAAGTCCTCGCCACCAGGACCTTGTCTTTTCCAGCCCCACATCTTGGGATCAATCTTCAGGTCCGGGATGATCATACCATAGGCAAAGACATTACAATTCCAATTGCCCTCCTCATCGCAAGTTTCCCAGACCCGGACCTGGGCTAAGTTAGCAGAGAGTGGCGGATGAGTAAGGCTTTCCAATTGAACCAATGTACATGGTTTACTGGAATAAACTCCACCCCAACACTGAAATTCCCGTTTGTCGTTCTGTTCAAAGCCAACCAGTTTCCAGAAGGAAGAGGTGGAGCTAATTGGGGTATCCACATACCAAGTCCCTGGTGGGTCCACCCCTTCGGGGCTCAGAATATCTTTCCACTACAATGGAATAACTTCAATTAGCTCCACCAATCGTTCTTCCACAAACCAGACCGGACCCAACACCCATCTCATAGCTGTTGCTGAGTGCCAATGCCCTTCCAGGGAGTTCCAGATATCACCTATTCTCATAACTCCCCGTTCAATCCAAGATCTACCAAAACTGTCTCTTGAAGAGTCAACAGCGAACCAACAACCATCAAACTTATGGATAGTCGGATTCTCGAATAATGGTTGCAATAGAACTTCGACTTTTTTTGTTGGAGGCAGCCATGAGTTTGGTTTCAAATACTTCCATACACTCATGATTGCCTTCCAAAAATCCGATTTAATCTGGCGATTCTGGTAAGATGGCAGCAAGAAACAGGTCTACACGTCCGAAGGACGTGTTAAGTTCCACTCAGCAGCCAAAATCATCTCAGCCATTGAAATCCAATATGCATCCACAGGTAAGCACATAACTTTCACTGCCCATCGGGCTAGCATACCCTTCCTCTGGGGGTCTACCAAACCCAGACCCCCTTCCTCCTTGGGGAAGCATAGTAAATCTCAGGCGACTTTAGATAGGAAGCCTTCTTCCTCGGTGGAGGATGGTTTTCAAATAAACCGAGAGGCCCTTCGTCTAATCAGGGAACATAAATGTCTACCAAGAGGTCTGACAACAACCACAAACCATAGTAGTGCGAAGAGGGCACTATTAAGCATCAAGGCTCTACCATAAATTGACAGGTGAGAAGCTCTGCCCCACGTAGCAGCTCTGTGCAGTAAGCGTTGCAAGAGAATACCTTCCTGATCGACCGTACATGAAAGGAGCGTCACTTGAACACCTAGGAACCTCTCTGAATCTCCTGCCATAATTCTTTTCATACCCCAGTTAATTATCGGAGAAAATCTACTATGGAGGAAGTAAACTGATTTATTCCAGTTTACTGAAGCTTCTGAGAGAATTGAATACTCATCAAGGCATGATTTCAGAGCATTCATAGAGCTCGTCGTATTCTCTGAGATCGCAAATAAGTCGTCGGCGAGGGCTTTTACCTTACATTGATCAGACCCTACATTAAGTCCCCTAACCATCGGATTTGATCTTATGTTACAGAGGAGGTTTTCCATCTGGATCACAAAAAGGAGTGGGGCCAAGGGACATCCTTGGCGGAGTGAACGGGTAAGCGCAAAAGGTTCAGAAATGTTCCCGTTTACCATAACCGTAGTCGTCGATAGTGAATACAAGGCTATCACCCAGTTGCACAGGTTATCCCCAAAACCGATGTGTCGCAAGGTAGTTAAAACGTAAGTCCAATTAACTCTATCATATGCTTTTTCAAGATCCAACATCAGAATGGAGACATCTACCTGAGTGTTTTCCACCAATTCCAAGGCTTCGATTGCTGTAACGATATTATCAAAAATTGAGCGGCCTTGCACAAAGGCTGCTTGATCCTGAGCGATAAAAAAAGGGAGGTACTTACCTAAACGTCTAGCCAGAACCTTTGCCAATAACTTATACGACACGTTCAGGACAGAGATTAGGCGCCGATTCCTAATCTCATATTTGTCCCCCTTCTTATACAACAAGGATATAATATCGTTCCTCATCCCTTTTGAAAGATTACCCCCCGTCAACACCTGATTATAAATCTCCACCAACTCCTCTTTAACCATATCCCAAATGATTAGGTAAACTTCCACAGGTAAGCCATCATCGCCTGGGGCTTTGCCTTTCGCCATCGAGCGGAGGGCAACCTCCGCCTCCTCCGTGGTGATTAGCCGATCCATATCCAGTTTTCCTTGTATGGGAAGCTTAACAGAGAAGTGTTGCCAGTGAGAAGAGTTCTCAGATAAATCCAGAGTCAAGTCCTCATTTGACCGTCTCGTGGTTAGAATATCTTGATAATATAAGGCAGCATAAGCACACAGTTGGGATTGATCTCTTGTCGGGGGCTGTTCCGAGTCAAAGGGGTGTGAGAGTTCACACATCAGGTGTGATAACCGTTTAGGTAACAGTATTTGAAAGGTTTTCCTAGACATCCGATCATAGACAGCCACCCCCTTGACGTTTAACCACTCTGGCCAAATATCTGATTGCTCCTGTTGGTAAGCATCCCACTCCGCCATGTATGTTTCCCTGATTGGGCTCCATACTAGGTTGGAAATGGGGTGTTCATTCATTCGCGACTCTGCATATTCAATCTTGCGAATCAGTTCCCTTTCCTTGTTCTTCTTACCCGCTGCCAAGATACGAGAGAATAGGATAAGGTGCTTAGAAAAAATCCTGGATCCGGCATCCCACCAGGCCTCTTTCGAATCAAAAGAGTCATGGTTTAACTTCCAACCTTCCCAGAAACGAACTATCCAATCAACCACCCCAGGGTAAGACAACATCTGAGTGTTGACCCTGTAGTACCCTGGTCCTCTAGCCAGTCTCTGGGAGTTGAAGGCCGCTACTACTGGCTTATGATCCGAGATAGGGTTAAAGACCTCCTCAATGAAAACAGTAGCATGCCAGACGTCTGGTGAGAGCAAGAGATAATCCAACCTTCTGCGAATCGTGCCAATCCCTTCTCTAATATTAGAAAACCAGGTAAAACCAGGCTTCCCTGGGTTGAGAATGGGGTAAGGTTCGATCAGATCCAACTTCATCATGAGTTGCGAGAGGGTTTTCACATCCTGTAAACCACGTATACCCTCTTGTCTGTCTAACACAGTATTCCAGTCTCCTGCGATAATCAGGTTAGCATAATCCGGGACAAACAAGGGAAGATCCTCGAAAAAAAGGCAACGTTCATTGATATCGGTTGGCGCATAAATTGAAGTCACAACCCAATCCTGTCCTTCGATCCAGAGCTTAATCCAAGCCCAACGCCCCCAAGGATCAGCACAAAAATCGACAATCTTAGCATTCAAATTCCTATGAACCAGAACAACCACTCCACCTCTCGAACCTCTGGCGGGGGACCAGATCTGCGGACCATCCCACCAGGCTCCCAACTCCAAGATTTTAGACTCTGAAAGCTTACTTTCTTGAATACAAGCAACATTAATTCGATTCTCATGGATCCAACTCTTGAGCCGACCTTTTTTGTTTCTGCCAACTGTATCACCTAACCCGCAAACATTCCACGTGGCCAATCTAAGTCTGCCCATTTGGGGCCGAGCTTCCACAAGTTGGATCTGGAACACAGTAGTATGGACTTCCGACAACCATGATTCTGTCAGTACTCGCTTCAGGAAGGGAGAATCCAACTTCTTGCCTTTACCCAACTTCGAGTTTAAAACAGCCAAAAAATCAGCCGTCATAGCCGGAGCCACCTTTATATGGTGCAGGTCCGGCTTTCTACCCTCAGCAAACCAAGACATTGGAATCAACCTCAAGCCTTCCCTCTCTAGTTGTTTTAGCTGACTCGGCAGAAACTGTGCATCCAACAACGGGGTATAGTATCGGGCTCGTTTGCCCTCAACTTCCACCAGAAACCTAGGCATCGAGACTTCGATAAACCAAAGGCTGAATTTATCCTGAATCATCGAGCGTGCCAAGTTCTCCAGTGCATATGGCATGGGGGATTCTGAACAGCTCGCATTCAAAAGAAAATGGGAGCCATCAATACCTATCCAAGCAACGATCCACAGAGCATCTCTAACAGCCGTGCACATAATCGGGAGGAATTTTGATTCCAACACCGATTGGCCCTTCGAAAGAGCGTCCATCCGAGAGCGTGAGGGTTTTCGCTTACCTGCTGTTGATCGTGCTTGGGAGCCATTCGAACTTCCTGAGCCTTTTGCTTGGAGATCATCGACACGAATATCATTCTCACCTTCACTGAGTCTTCGTTGTTTCCCTGGAGATTCCCCTCGGATGCGGCTTCCACTGCCCCCGAGGGCCAAGCTCCCGGAGTGAGCAAGTCCCGATTGTTGGAATAGGCCCCCGGGCGGGCCCGATGGAGTTCCACCACCTGGTAGACTTGATGGTTGCCAGGGAACAAAACCCTGTAGATGAGCGACCGATGGGCTTGCTCCAAGATGCTGCTGAGGTGAGAGCATACCAAATTGCTGAGCCGCGGAAGGATGAGATGTTAAGTTACTTAAGAAGAAGGCCCATGCCGCGTCCATGGCCGGATCCTGTCGGGACCTGAGGTCCTGGCCCTGGCTAAGACCCACAGCGGGGTGCCCCGCATTAACCCCTGGAGAAAAAGCGGGGTTCGACCTCACCGCCATACCTCCCGAAAGATTCGCAGGTGCAGTTGAACCTGCCTGCTGAACTGAAGCCCCTAGAGCCATCAAGGATCCATTGTAGCCTTGGTGTTGTTGTTGTTGTTGATTTCATCTTCTCGCTGACTGACCCTGGCTGGAACTCGAAGCGCCTTGATCCGGCCTCCTCCCTGCACGCCGACAAGAAGCCTCAGTGTGGAAAAAGGTACGACATCGCTTACAATATTTCGAGTCAGCATCGGCGAGTCTTATCTCCAGCACATCGCCTTGAAAGGTTTGCATCATGATCTTATCCGTCATGTTTGTTTTGCAGGCTGGACCAATGTCGAAGCGCAGGTTCACCAGCTTCGTGTCCGTATCATCAGCCTCTAGTTTATGTTCTTTCACGATCTTGCCGATCACTTTCTCCACGTGCACATGGATGAATGGCATCTCATTCAGAGGTATGCCCACAGCAACAACCCAAAAGGTGCTCTGGCCGATCAGCTGCCTCCAGTTTCGAATCTCGGCTCTCGCCAGCCATGGTTTAAAATCCGTCCGAAAAGTAATCCCTGCAAGGTCAATAGCATCGGTCTTCTTCCTAAGCATCCAATCGGAGATTACTTGAGCTCTTGGAACGTAGGAGATAACATTAGGACTCTCCACTTTGATACGCCCTCTCTTGAAGTCCTGCCCGAAAACCTCGTCTCGAATCCAGACATCTTCATACGCCCTCACCACATCTTCTTTGACCTTCTTGGGTAAGAAACGTGCTCCGTCACGAAAAATGACTGTCACGGTTCGTTCCTTAAGCCACCTAACTTTGATTTCATCGAGGGACGTATTTAATACAAATTTCACTTCCCTTCCCGTCACTTGCATCTCCCCTGGGTCGATATCCATTGGGAGAATGCCATCCTCAAAACAGGCCCTAATCATCTCCCTTACCCTTTCCTCCTCCAAGCGGTAATCTCCCGGGACTTGCTCCCTACCATCACCTCCCCCTTGATTTACAGGCTTCGCCTCCATACTTAGACTCTACCTTCCAGTTCTTCACAATCAACTTCGTCAACTTATAAAGTGAAGGACAACAGGTCTTACCACTCTTCCTATTGCATATACAACTGTCTCTTCGGGGTGGCGGGGCGGACTCCGAAAACAAATTCAACCGCTGATAGCATCGGCTATGGCTGACAGCCATAGGTCGTCGTCAAAACAAAAACTAGGAGCTACCGTCTACGACCATGGGTCCACGGTGGATCCACCAGCCGTCGGTCAGGCCTGTACCACTACAGACGGAGCTAGGGCCGAGCGCTGCTGCGCCAACCGAAGTGCCTTTTCGCGAAGCGCCGCCGCCCCCGCCCGAAACCAGAAACAGAAGTTGAGAGAAGAGTGTAGAACGAACAGGAAAAAAAAAAAAAAAAAAAGCAAGGGCCTCGCTGCACTACTCTCGAAATGGGGAAAACGAGAGTGAATCCTCCGCTAGAATATGGAAAGATACACCGCCATGATTTTTGTCTGTTGTGCATGTCGCGAGGCCCCAAGGGCCTCGCTGCACTACTCTCGAAATGTGCAAAACGAGAGTGAATCTTCCACTAGAATATGGACAGATACACGGCCATGATTTTTGTCTTTTGTGCATTTCAAGAGTAGTGCAGCGAGGCCCCAAGTCTCGGTTTCAGAGAATTGCAAAATCCTCAAATTTGAGAGTTGGGGTTCACTGGTTTAGTCAACATTGGGCTTCTTGCCCTTCCCTCGTCACCATTGATGCTTGTTCAGGCGACTTTATTTTTGGTCCTTTTTTGCAGTCTTAGTAATAGGGTCCATTGAAGCTAGGTTCATGTCATTCTTTTTTGGTTCATGTGATTCCTGTTCTAAGGTATCCAAAATTTTTATATAAGAAGTCTTTTTTATAGTATCTTTGCTTCACTTCAAATACAGTTTATTGGATAGGTTAGTCTATAATTGATCAGTGTGTCGGCTACAGGGGTTAAACCACCAGTACCTGCCGGTTGTTAAGGCCCGTGGCTCAGCCTATCGGTAGGCCGGTTGTTCCCGAGCCTCGGACTTTATTGCCGAGCCTCGAACAACCGGTAGGACATCACGAAAAACAAAAAAAACAAAAAAATTATATACAACGTTCAGCAAAAGAAAAAAAAAGAAAAAGAAAGGAAATCAGACGTGCCGTGTGAGAATGAATCTTCCTCGACAAAGAGGAAGATTCATTCTCGTTAGAGG